TTTGCCAAGAATTCCTCTTTGTCCATCTGAAGATAACATGTTCCCCTTCAAATTGAAGAGAAAACAGTTTCCAGTCCGGCTTAGCTTTTCTATGACAATCAATAAAGCTCAAGGATAGACCATTCCTAATGTAGGTGTGTATCTACCAAAATCAATATTCTCTCACGGACAACTTTATGTGGCGTTATCAAGAGGGACATCACATGAAAATACAAAGGTATTAGTAAAGCCTGCAAAAAAAAACAATCGTGACGGAGTCTACACATCTAACGTGGTGTATCAAGAAGTTTTACGCGATTAATAAGGTACAAATGAGCACTTATTATTACACATTTTTTTACAACTACGCTTGGTATGTATCTATTATAATCATAAGACATTTCTTACAGGGCATATCTACATATGGATGCTTCAAGTGGTATCTTTTTTTTTTTTTTTTTTGATCATGAGTTGCATTAAGTGAAAATCATTATTAAACAATCTAAGAATAACAATTAATGTGTGTTTGGAAATCCGTTAATCATGCAATTCTCTTTCCAAATCTCTGGTCAGTCAACCATTATAAAATTTGAAGTTTATAATGATCATAAACGTCATACCTTCGATTTACAAAAAACATTGACATCTCGTCGCATTGCGCGGGTATCCAACTAGTATGTATGTATGTATGTATGTATATATATATATATATATATATAGCAGGGGATTGTGTGAGTAGAGTTAAGGTGAGAAGCGTAAGAGGGGATCTTGACCTTGATCTTTTTTATTCTCAAACCCACTCATTAATCGCATTTGATATGAGGATTGATTCGGTACATCTCATTCTAATGTGCATCCGCTGATGGAAATCTTTTCTTATGTTTCACATCTTAACTAGGGCCATCCCTGAGATTTTGGATGCCCACGGCGGAATGTCAAAAAAATGCCCCTTATGTGTGTAAATAAAAATCAAAATAAACTATTTGAAGGGTTTTGGAACCTAGTCAATCAAACAAAAAAAATGCCCTTTAAATATAACAAAAATGATGCAACAGGGGGGAGGGGGCATAAATCAAAACCCCGTGTAACAAAATATAAAGTACATCACCATTCACCTAAAACATAAGCATCAATCTTAGGCCTTTCACAGCTTCTATACTAATACTAACAACCCTAAAACAACTTGCCCTATACTAACCCTCTTCTAAACAACCCTAAAATTAACAATTGTAGGCCTTTCACAACTTCTATACTAATACTAACAACCCTAAAACAAATTGCCCTATACTAACCCTCTTCTAAACAGCCCTAAAATTAACAATCTTAGGCCTTTCACAGCTTCTATACTAATACTAACAGCCCTAAAACAAATTGCCTTATACTAACCCTCTTCTAAACAGCCCTAAAATTAACAAATGGTTGTCATTTGTTTCTAATTTTGTGTTGTGGTTTGTAACAAGTGAAACAGTCAAACAAAGTGAAACATAATTGACAAACCACAAAGTACCAATTTCACAGCTTAATTATTAGGTTTTGCAATCAAACAATAATTAGAAACTTAAAAAATAAAATAAGTAAAGTAAGTAAGTATTAAGTAATAACCCTAAGTCCCTTACCTCACAAGTGTGAAGGGCTCAACTCTCAAGAGTCAAGGCCGAGAGCAATAGGTGAGAGCGATTAGTCGCAGTCGCAGACCGGCAGACGGACGGCAAACGGCAGTTGGAGAGCGAGAGACAGTCGATTGTCGAGAGAGGCAGAGAGCGAGAAGCCGAGAGCGAGAGCCGATTGTGTCAACAGTCAACTGTCAAGGTCGATTGGCGATTGTGATTTCGAGAGCGAGTAAGCGATGCGAGACAAGAGCGAGAGTCGAGGGAGTGAGCCGTGAGGCTGTGAGGGAGGATGATGGACATGTCATGGACTGTGGACTGGACGCATTGTAGTGGACGGTAACGGTAACATTTTTTAGGCCCAAATGAAAACTGAACCTATACATAGACATTGGGCTTTAAAATTTTGATGCCCTTGGGCCTTATGTTACCCTGGGCCGTCGCCCCCTGGACCTATGGCTAGAGCCAGCCCTGATCTTAACTTTCCTACTCATCAAAACCCAACTCTCTCTCTCTCTCTCGGTCACTCTCCCTCTATATAAATGTATATAGTTATATTATTTTATATGTTTTAAAGAGAAATATAAAATAACGAAAATGCCCATGATTTAACAAGACTAAGAATAAAGTTAGAGGCAGGGACTAATCCATAATAAAACTAAAAACCACAATGATTATCCTTGACTCCTTGTAATTATTTTGTTTGGAAGACCAGATCCATAATTCCTATATAACCACAGGGACTAGATTTGTAATTTCTCTTATTTAGATTGCGTTAATTAATTAATTTAGTTTCTTAAATTAAATGTTATTTAATTAATATGATAATGTGTTTTAGAACATTAATTAGCTATTTAGTTCTAAAGTGGTGGTGTTTATAATAAATCATTTACTTACTTAGATGTTTTAACAATGAGATTAAAGCGCCATAATTGGATTGAATAATTATTGGAACACCTTAATTTGGAGAGATGAATTTGTGACATTATAAAATGTTTATTTTGACATTTTAAGGCACCATTGAATTTTAAACTCGGGATCTGACTAAAATTGGTTGAGGTTGACCGATTGATTGAGGGTTGATTTTACCTAGTTTGACTTACAAGGAATTTGACAATGACATCAAATTGAGATATTTGAGACATTAAGAGACAATTTTTGGAGTTTGACTTTAGGTCGGGTCATGTTTGATCATAGTTGACTATTGTTGACTTTTAGAGAAATAAATCTATTAATTAGATATTATGGTATGAAACATGTAAGTCTTCAATCAAGAGCTATCAATAGCTGAGCTATACAGACCGATGGGTTTTCATGAGACTTGCAATGGGAGGCATACATATGTACAAAGTTATTTTATCATGTTATGATTTTGTGGTGGTGAATGCCATGCATGATATTGATTTAAATACATGACATCGGTTATATGTTTATATGTATATGGAGCTTTTGTGGAGCATGCATGCTAATGGTTTTTTGGTCATTAAACATATTTGGCATTCTCAAGTTTGTAGTTGGTTTAAATTCTACAAGTGGGACATGGTTAGGAGTATGGGATGTCAACTTGGTTTTTCACACATAAGGGGAGGCACGACTCCGAAATGGGTTACTGGCTCTTTATGAGTTGTACACATTAGGAAATGTCTGTGACATGGCAACACGACCCCGTAATGTGTTACTAGCTCTAGGTGAGTCATACACACTTAGAAAATGCTTTCAACTTATCAGTCCCTACTCAATGAGACAGACAGTTATAAGATCTATCTTTGATTAAGTGTTGCATGCTTTCTATTCATCTGAAAGCTTTATGATCAATTTTAATGGGTGGACATTTGACTAATGAGTCACATGACAAGTGGCAAGACCCCATATTGGGTGCCTAAATAGGTGCAGGTCGGACAACCCAAGGAATGCAGTCACAAAATGATTATACCTAACCAGGTAATTTATGAGATCTTGTTTCTTTCAGTGTTGCATGTTTTTAGAAAATACATACTACTTGATACAAAGTTTATAAGTTGATATATATGATGTAAGAATTTATTCGTGTAAACCATGAAACTCTTTGAGTTTTATAACCCGACTATAATATGCATCTTAGGTTTCGGGACTTCGAGGTTGAACAAGGGAAAATGGCATGTTTGGAGACTTGAGTACTTATTTAGGTGCAGTATATTTTATTAGACATTTACGTTTCAATCAGTTTTAAGTGAGACGTGTTAGCATTTATGTTACATTTTTATTAATTCAAAGTCTTCCATTGTAAATGATCTATGGTTTTATTTTACTCGTTATTTGGAATATAATTGGAGAATTTATTTTAGATTACGTAACATTTCTCATGGTGAAATAAGGGTGTTACCGATACTTTTTTTTGGCCTCACTGAACTTTCGTTTCCCCTTGAATGAGTTAGCTTTGTCTCTTCCACCACGTTCATAGAAGGAGCGAGAACCTCTTTTGCCTTAGGTTTCTTAACACAAGTGACTACTGAGTCGTACAAGGGACAACTTATCTTTTATCTATGCAACATGTGTTCAAGATCTTTTCAAGAGGGGGCAGTTTATCAATTATGATTGACACATAAATAGATTCGTCCATCTTCATGTTATTTTGAGCATATTACCCTAGAATGCACATGAGATCATTGTACTGTTTCACCACATGCATTGAGTTCATCATTTTGTAATTATTAAAATTACTTAGGAGGAACTTTTTACTAGAATTATCATCGACCATGTATTTGGACTCAAGAAAGTCTTACAACTCTTCAGCAAAATCGATATTTTAATATATGTCAAATAGAAAGTCATGCAATACCCTTTAAGATGTGGCCACAACAGATATAGTCGCGGTTCTCCCGTTTGCCCTGACGCCAACTCATTTCCAACGTCTCATGTTCAATAACCTCTAGTATCGGAGTGCTCATAACATATACCACCTTTAACGTTGTCAACAAAAAGTGCATCCTTTTCTACCACGTCCGAAATCTACCCCTTCAAACTTCTCTAGTTTGGTAAAGTTCGTCTTTTATGTCTCTCATGGATTGACCACCCGTCTTGTTTCTCACAAAAACGAAAATACAACTTAATATTGTTGGAGGATTTCGATAAAATACATAGAAACAATAAGTAAAGCTAAGATCGTGAAACTGTCATAAGAGTTTGCTTTCCTTATATAATATTTTGGTACTTATTTAATATCTATTTTTAGGGTATTTGGGATTGTTTATAAAAACAATTTATTGATTTATTCCGATGTAACATCCGTAATAAACATTTTTGAGTGTTTATAAATAATTTTTTACTATACCAAACCAATTTTTTTTAAAGATGTTAAATCTTCCGATATAAGTTGATAACCGCCGGCAATCCCAAAGAGAGTTTATAAATATTTACAAAATATGCTTTGTTAATGGCCGGATATATGAATTGGAGACGATGGAAGAAGGTGTAATGGGCTTCTGATTGAAGCGATTTGGTACGAGTAAATTCATATCACTTTCAAAAATGTTCCAGCTCCAGTCGGATCTTCGATCTGCGATTCAAATTGCTGCTACCTTCTGTTATATCAACCCCAATCGCTACGAATCGCCCTCCGCCAGACCAATCTCCGTCCGTACGCCCAACCGCCTGAGACCACTCCATGCGGCGGCCGTCGAAAGACTCGCTGAAAAGCCTCCGATCTGTACTGCTGATGAACTCCATTACGTTTCAGTTCATAATTCCGATTGGCGACTAGCTCTCTGGCGTTACAAGCCTCCTCCGCAGGTCTGTCTTCGTTTTTTTCTTTTTTTCATCTTTTTCTCCAAATTTCATATTTTTTACATCGCTGCACTAATTGTGGGAATGTGTATCTGTGTAACGCCTTATCAACGGGAAGGGATGTCGCGATCGCATGTAAAAATCATTTTGAACACTATGTCCTCTAAAACAGATGAATGTCATTGGATACTTCAGAGTGAAACCTCCCATCCAAACCCCATACTCCAAATAACTGATTAATTAATCCAAGCAATCGATGATGTCTACATCAAATTTCAATCAGAACCCAAAGCACTGAAATGAAAATTCACTGGTTAGAAATGCTTCCTGGTCAAGCAAACTTCACACTTCCACGGATTACCTTCAGGAAGAAATCTCACAGAATGACCCGGTTACCCCACCCAAATGTAAATTACAAAATATTCCAGGGAAAATGAAGGCAAATAGAATGTGAAACGACATCACATCTAAACATACAGACAAGTAACTACCAACACCGGAATATCCAAAAGAATACATGGCAGAATGCTAGTGACGACCTTTATGCCTCTCATAAATCAGAAGGTTGTTGTAGGTGTCATTCCATTGGTGCTATAACGACGTAATCCCCCATGGGTGGCCAACTTGGATACTGCAATCTTCAATCTATAGTTGGACGTATGAACATCAAGATGGCAAGACACTTTCAAATAGTGTTATTGTGCACGAAATACAAATATTTCCGAATAACCAATTTACAACTAATGAATGTACCAACTACCAACATAGAACACAAGTCTATTAAAGTACAAGTCATATATGCACTATGCCAAGAGTTGTGTTATAAGATGGAAATGAAATTCTACTTCAATATGAGGTCGAAGTCAAATAGCAAAACAAAAATAAAATATGGAAGTAAAATAATAGATTGGAAGTCAGATATCCACCGCACGACAAGGGAAGAACTACATGAATCTACTCATTTAAATTAGATCAAGTTATACGGGTTTTAGAACACTCATAAAATGTCAAAATTCACACCTACGTCAATCTCTTTCTTGACTCTCAACTCGTAGGTTTCTCTTATCACATTCAAAGCTCCATGGGGCATGGAGTAGTTGTTGCAGGGATGACTATGAGATCTTTTATAAGTCGTAGAGAAACAAAAATGGTTGACTTGATGATCCAATTAAATAGGAGAACTGAGAATCAAATAAACAATTGTGGAGACATTAAGTCTATTTGGATTTGGATAAATGGAAAATCTTGATTTTGGAGAGGACGAAGAAAAAAATAAGTCGGATGTTACAATTCATGGTGCACCACTATTTTTCTAGGATTGATCATTTACTCCTCTCTTTATACTTCATATGTTTACAGACTTGAGAACCGAACATACAATCTAGACGGAAATTTGGTTTTTAATTAACGAAATAGATTGCGCCAACAAAAGAAGATATATCCGATCTAGAGTGCATATCCTAAGTCCTAACGCTATACAACAAGACCAAACATAGAAACTTGCGGGGCCCATTATGAATCTAAAAAATAATGTGCATGTATATATTTATATATCTCAACAACCAACATCAAGGATATGAGGATATGTGAAACCCCTTTGAATCTCTCTCTAAAAGAGCTCTTGAGGAGAGAAGAGACGTCCCAACATATATAGAAGGAAAGAGGTCCGTCTCTAGCCGAAGTAGGACTCCAACACGCCCCTTTCAGTGGAGAGTAGACGGAGACAGTATTCCAAAGTGTTGAGTTCTTATTCAAGGAAGACCCTGACTTTGATACCACCTGATACCATGGAAAGATATGTGAAGCCTCATTCAAGGAGCCCTTTGAGGAGAAGAGATGCTCCAACATATATAGCAGGAGAAAGGTCAATTTATAGCCGATGTAGGCTCCAACAATTGACAAGCCTCATAAAACTCCTACACATACAAGATACAAAAACAATACATATGTATATATGTAGTATATATATCCACCACAATAAGCAAAATCAATAATCCCTTTTGACCCACAAAAGATCTATGTTTGGATCTATGTTGTTAACGCACCGCTATAGTGGTGGTATCGCGGTTTGTGGTGGTAAGAGGAATAGCGGTGGTCAAATTGCGGCTCAAATCGCAGTGCCGCAAAAATCGGCGCTAACTGTCGCTATTTGACCGCAATTTCTAGGTGGTATAGCGGTGAAAATACCGTGATTTGCATATGAGGATTTTTAGGTTTTGTGGCTTAGTTAAACTTGGGATTATAATCGCTGGGCTTATTCAACTTTTGTTTTTTTTTTAGGTTTTTTGGCTTATTTTTAACGCTGTAATTATTTAGTAGTTTAGTTTACGTCAAATTAGGTCATGAATCGTCGATCTACGTGAGCAAACGATGTGTTCCAGATCATAAACCTCGCCAATCGGTGTTCCTCTCGTCCTTTGCTCTGCTCTGCAATCGATACAATTTGAGTTACAAACTTACTTTTCGTATTTTGTTTGTGTGAAACTTACTTGTTTAAGTTAATCTTTTGATCTTGAAACTATTTTTTTAATGAATACATATAATAAGTTACGCATGCATGCATACATACACATATATGTAACTCTAATAATTATATGAACCGCTATACCACCACTTTACCATCGCGATAACCGCTATTTCAAATCACAGTACTCACTTCGATTTCGAATTTTGACCGCCGTAACAGCATAGGTTTGGATAACACTGTGATTTGCGCTTTCTTATTGTCAAGATGATTCTTACTGGAGCCCCAATATTATGCCATTGTATTCTTTCTGCATTTTTTTCAACTTGAAGAACTTAAAAAGTGTTCGGTTGAAGTCTTGGAGATACATTGAGATATTTTCGAATGCAATAGCTTACAATTTGGCATATCTAGTTGTCAGAAAAATAGTTGTCTGAATAATAGTCCTGACATTCTGCAGTAAGTGCAATGTCTCACTAAGTTATTGTCTGGCTATATTCACAAAATGCTCTTATTTTTAAGGAAATTGAGGATGAGTGCACAAAAGATGGAAAGAAGTTCTAACATTTTGAAAATGATTGCAAGGTTTAAACTAATTTGGGGATAGTTTGGATGTGGTTCTCTTTAAATGAATTGTAATGATGGCTAAAGGATTTGATGAGGAGGGTGTCAATTGAACATTTTATATCAAGAATTTGTCAGACTGGTTGATATTGCATCTACTAAGAAATATCTCAAAACATATATTGATGTGGAAGAAAAGAAGTGCATGCAATTAATTTGTTGATCAATTTCAAATTTAGTTGTTTATATGATTATATACTTTTTCTGATTCTCTTTTACCTACACTATTAGTTTGGAAGGAAAGGCGTGTTCTTGTATATGATTAACTGATTATATGTGTACTTTGGTTATGCATGCTTGTAGGCACCTCCAAGGAATCATCCGTTACTGCTTTTGAGTGGAGTTGGAACAAATGCAATTGGATATGATCTTGCTCCGGGGGTGAGTTCAAATTTGTGTATCTGTTTATGGTTTTTCATAATTGGCATGACCCCACAAATCAAAGTTTTTATTAAGCTCCAGGTGATGTTGTTGGGAACTGAACAATATTAATATGAACACACATCAAAATTTGTTACCTAAGTTTCCCTATTGTGTTACAATTTCCATGTGAGTGCATTTTCCAGTAATGAGGAAGAGTTTGTTCAAGTTTTAGGAGGTACTGACTATCAATTTATCAATCATAACCAAGTTGAAATGCTACGCTTGAAACTACTCATGTGCCAACACCCCTACCAACCAAAGTTCATATCCACTAAAGTAAGTGAATTGGATCTGCTTTTCCAGAAAATGATAAATACTATAAATAAATAAGTCATAGAATTAAATCAAGTATACTGAAGCTGCATGAAAGATACAAATATGCAATGTGTGTATACACTTGTTTTTTATTGGTACCAAGAGGCACATAAGTAACTTTCCAAGTGAAGAACCTATATTAGGGTTTTCTCCATTTAGGCATTCTACCATTACTATCAACAGTAACACCATTACACCTTTTTCAAGCCTAACTGCCTCTCTCTATCTCTTTAGTTGACAATCAGTAAAAACAGGGGAAAGTCCAACAAAAAGATATTCATACTAACACAAATTTCATGAACAGTTTTTTAATATTATTTTACTTTCATCCACTAAATCAGTTCATTAAATCACATTATTTTGGGGGGGGGGGTTATTATTTCAGGTGGGATTTGTTGTTGATAGCTATGTGCTTATTTAAATAAAGAGGTGGGTATTTTATGTGTATATAACAATTGAGATTTGGGGTTGAGTTTGTATGGAATAATTAACAAGGAAATAGAAACAAAGAGACTAAGAGTGCGTGACAATCCTTGGACAATTTCATAATGGGGTAGTTTGGTCCTAAAATGCATTTAAAGGATATCGGTCAAGCTTGTTGCGGTTTGGTTGATGATTATGGACGAAGGATGTGCAACCAAACACTTTAAGGGGAATTTGAGAGACAAGCGTAAGATGGGGATATGTCAAAGGTAGAGTTTGATATGGGTTTTGGAAATTTAGGATACGGGAGGGCATACGATTAATCAAGTATTCGACGATCATAATGGCATCCCCCCAATAGTGATTAGGAACACAGTTGCCAAGAGGAGATAATGGTGACTTGTAGGAGATGTCAATTTTTTCTTTCAGCTATTCCGTTCTTTTGAGGAGCATCAACAAACAAGCTAAGATGAACTATCCCTTGTTGGTTGAGATATGTTCCAAGTTCGGACTTCGGAATGGAAATATTCTTTTGTATTGTCGGTTTTCAAAATTTGAACTTTGGCCGAAAATTGGTTTTCGATCATGGTGTGAAACCTCTTGAGAATAGGCCCGACCTCAGATTTCTTCATTAAGAACAACCAAGTTACACGAGTGTGCTCATTGATGAAGGTGACAGACCACCACAATCTGAGAGATTCTTAATTCGAGATGGTTCCAGAAAATCATTGTGGATTAGGTAAAATGGATGTAAAGCTTTTTATGGAATCGGATTATGAGATTGTCGTACGTGTTTTGAGAGTTGACATGTTTCACATTTGAGTGAAGGAAGATTTTTAATTATGAATTCTGGAAATAGCTTTTGTAGATGCAAGAAATTGGGGTGGCCTAGTCTACAGTGCCACAAAATAGCATTCTTGTCTAAACTAGAAACTGTGAACAAGGCTTGCTTGGAAAGACTTGAGGATGCATTGGTTTTAAGAAGATATAGACATGCCTGAACCTCAACACTCCAATCTTCTTCCTGAGTTCAAAACAGAAATTCACATACACCCACAAGAAATTTAGTACTACAGTTTAGGTCTTTAGTGAGTTTACTAATCGATAGAAGATCATACTCAAATTTGGGAACATCAAGACGATATCCTTGGATAAAACAACTGTACCAATACAGGTGAGTTGAGAAGTGGATCCATTTGCCACTCTTATTGTGGTACCGTTCCGTGTGGCTTAAAATTGGAGAAGACGTTTAGGTCACCAGTCTTATGATCCAAAGCCCCTGAATCTACAATCCATGGTAGTAGCTGAGGCATTCTTCTGTGCCGCATTTGCGGTCTTAAGCTTATACATGGGCTGGTTGTGGAGAATTTTCTGAAGAGCTGCTACTTGTTCCCTGCTAAATGGTTCATGATTCTGAGATGTTACAACGTTATCCTGACTAATATTCTCCTGGAAATTAGGTTTCCAATCTGTTGGTTTTTCGTTGATTTTCTATTGTATCTCTTTAATGCGACCAAGCCGTTTGCAATGATAACTACATGGTCGTCCAGGTTTCTTCAAGGAGCTCCCTGACTGTGTTTGAAATCTGCTTTCAGACTTAGAAGAGTATCGGGTTACTAGGGAAGCCCTTTCTCCGACAGAATGGTTGATGGTTTCTCCGAGAATTATTTTCCTCCTGCCTCCTCTTTCTTCTCAGCGTACCTCTGAGAATGCTTCTCAGATACTAGGCAGCGGCTTAGTACTAATGATCCTTCCTCGAACCTCATCTAGTTCTCGATTCAGTCCAAACAAAAACTTGTAGATCCTGTCAGTTTCGATAATTCTCCTATACGGCTTCGCATCAGTGCTACAGCTCCATGTGTTTCCGTCGAGAGCGTCAAGTTGCTGCCAATAACGAGTTAAGACCGTGTAATAGCCTATGACGGTGGAGTCTCCTTGTCGAAGATCATGAAATAAGCCCTTGATTTCAAATACAACGGAGGTATTACCTCTCTGCCGCTGTCTTGTAGTAGATAAAACGCTCACTGATCTGGTGTCATGGGACTAAGTAACGTCATCACTAGATTATTCTTGGTTTTCCATAGTTTATAGTAGGAACTACCTTCGTGAGGCTGTGCTATATGAGTAGAGTGGTAATCCTCTTTGCCTCTGCCCCCAATGAAAATCCGGATAGAATGAGACCAAAGATTAAAGTTATGGCCATTTAACTTATGACCGCTGATGGGAATAAGACTCTGATCTGCAGTGGATATTGGTAGATAATTCAAGGAATTAGTTTGAGCTTGGCTTGGAGTCGAGCTGATGATTGAACTAATCCAAAGTGATTGGAGAGTTCTCCATGATAAAAGAGAATCAGATCGACAGCTCTAATACCATCTAGAAAAGGGAGAAAAAAGAAGAGAAAACGAATCAGAAATTTGTTTATGTATTTCTTGAGAAAAATATAGAAGATACAAGGATATACAGGAGATAAAGTAATTTGGTTGTTACAATTATTTTGAGATTTACACTGTTTTATAAAAGATTAACTAGGAACTTATCCTAGCAGTCTTTATCCATATTTCTGACTTCTTCAGGGTTTGTTTAAAGTTCATTGCAGTAGGGAGGATTGGAGGTCCGCCAACAAGTATATATAATGAAATTGTAAAACAGAAGTATAACGTTTTTGGTAAAAGAAAAAATAGGTAGTAGTTTTTTGGAAAAGGTCGAATATTTAAATTTTATTAGAAATATAGAGGATTATATTGTCTTGTCAATTATTTTATATTGGTGCCTCTTACTCTGGACATTTATCTTACTATAAGAAACAGTTACTCAAATTTGTTGATAAAACCCTCACATACACACAGATTGGTGTAATTTGATATGGTGGTGCATGAAACATTCTGGAAGGGTCCTGCATCCTATGAATGTGATCTGTGACCATGACTATTGCATAGTTAAAAGACATGTTCAAATAGTCTTCGCTCTACCTCACTCAGGGCCGCAATTAGAGAAGGTGATGTTGAAACCAGGTGATAACACACACAATCTCACTTTAAATGTGATGTTTTATTCAACTAATCAAGCTGCCTTTTATAGGCATGCACAGGAAACAGATTCAGCAAACTAACAGCTAAAATATAGGAAATAAATACGACTAATCAAAATACTTATTCAAACCTAAAACAGACTCAAGGACTTGGTCATATGACCGTTGTAACCAAGCTTCAATATCCTCCCCTAAACTGAACTAGAGCTAGTTCAGTTTATTTCCTTCAAACCCAGTGATGCTCGCAACCTGCTAAAGTCTTCTAGTTTGTTCGGCTTCGTCATTATGTCAGCTAACTGATTCTTAGTGTTGCAGAATACCAACTTCAATTCCTCTTGATTAACCAAATCTCTTAAGTAATGGAACCTTACATCAATGTGTTTTGTTCTCCTGTAAATAATCGGATTCTCTGATAGCTTTATAGTTGATGTGTTATCGCACATAACTTCAATTGCACCTTCTTGTTTYTCACCCAACTCTTCAAGTAAACCTTTGAGCCATTTGCAATGACATGCACAGTTGGTTGCTGCTACATACTCTGCCTCGGTAGATGAGAGTGTGACAATTTCTTGTTTCCTTGAACTCCAACTTACAGCAGCCCCACTGTACAAACATATGTAGCCAAACGTACACTTTCTATCTTCCACATCCCTCGCATGATCACTATCAGTAAAGACTTTCAGTTTTTCATTTGACTCTCTTCCATAGAATAATCCATAAGTTGTTCCCTTCAAGTATCTTAACACCCTTTTTGCTGCATCCATATGTTCCAGCCTTGGTTTTGACATGAATCTTGCTAACAAGCACACTACATAGGTTAAGTCTGGCCTTGTGATAGTAACATACATAAGACTTCCTATCAACTTCTTGTATCGTGTTGGGTCAATCTCCTCCCCTCCTCCTTCCTTAGTAAGTACAGCACCAGGCACAATTGGATTATCTACTGGATGACTCTCTTGCATTCGAAACCTTTCGATAATTTCCCTAGAATACTTCTTTTGGCAAATATGAATTCCATCCTCAGATTGCTTTACCTCAACACCTAGAAAGTATTTCATCATGCCAAGATCTGTCATTTCAAATTCCTTTTGCATAGATCTTTTAAAACCTTCGCAGATCATAGTATTTGTTCCTGCATATATCAGATCATCAACATAGAGACTTACCACAAGAGTATTATTCCACACCCTTTTGATAAACAAAGTATGATCAAACTGACTTTGTTTGAATCCTTCCTTCTTGAAATACTTCTCTATGCGATTGAACCAGGCTCTAGGGGCATGTTTCAACCCATATAGAGCTCTCTTTAATTTGTACACCTTTGCTTCTTCTCCCTGTTTGACAAATCCAAGAGGCTGTTCAACATACACAGTCTCCTTGAGCTCACCATTTAAGAAAGCACTTTTAACATCAAGTTGAAACATCCTCCAATTTCTTTGAGCAGAGATAGCTAGAATGGTTTCGAATAGTGCCCACCCACTGGTACAAACACTTCTTCAAAGTCCACTCCCTTTTGTTGTGCATAGCCTTTAACCACAAGTCTTGCCTTATATTTGTCTATATTCCCTTCTTCATTCAACTTGGTTTTGTATACCCATTTTACGCCAATAGGTACAGCTTCAGCAGGCATATTTACTAACTCCCATGTTCCATTTCTCTCTATTGCATTTATTTCATCTTTCATAGCTTTCACCCACTTAGCTTCTTTTCTTGCTTCTTCAAAGGTAGTAGGATCTCTTTGAGCTGTATACATGGAAAATCCATCTTCTTCTTCTGATAACTCCTGACCAGTTCTATAATCTTGCATCCAAACCGGTTGTCTTCTATTTCTGGTAGAGGAWTCAGCTGCCTTACTTGTGACTATAGTACTTCTCTGATCTACAATGCTTGCTTGTGGGTCTTCATCTGGAATGAGAGTACCACTTTCTTGAGCCTGTTCTTGAACTTGTGGTTCCATATCCCCATCTTCTTCACTGTCTGTAACTGCAACTTGATGACCAGGTTCTTCTATTATCAATTCTCCCTCCCTTGTAGTTTCTTTATCTCAATTGCATTGTTGATACTCTTCAAATATGACATCTCTGCTAATTATGCTCTTCTTTGAATTGGATCATAGAGCCTGTAAGCCTTAGAACCAATGCTAATGCCAAACAACACACATTTTTGGCTTCTTGCATCTAACTTGGTTCTGACTTGGGAGGGAATATGCACGTGACCAATACATCCAAACACATGGAAGTAATCAACATTTAGCTTCTCTCCAGTCCATAATTCTTCAGGAACCTTCTTGTCTAGAGCTCTAGACACACACCTGTTTATAATGTGACAAGCCCAGATAGTTGCTTCTGGCCAGAAGCATTTGGAAACCTGTTTTTCTACTAACAAACATCTTACCATATTCATTAGTGTTCTATTTCGTCTCTCAGCCACCCCATTTTGTTGTGGGGTGTAGGCCGCTGTTAACTGCCTCTTAATTCCGTTTACTTCACAAAATTCAATAAACTGATGTGAAGTAAACTCTCCCCCTCTATCACTTCTCAACATTTTAATTTTAGAACCCACTTCAGTTTCAACCATTGCTTTAAATTTCTTAAAGTGCTCAAGACTTTCCCCTTTGTTTCCCAGCAAATAAACCCATGTCTTGCGTGTGAAATCATCAATAAAAACWAGTACATACCTCTTTCCACTTTGAGACATTGGTGTGATTGACCCACAAAGATCTATGTGCACAAGCTCTAACCTTTGAGTGGATCTCCAAATTGCTTTCTTTGGAATTGCTATCCTGCTTTGTTTCCCAACATTGTAAGTCTCACATACCAACGTTTTCCCACAAACTTGAGGTATTCCCTTCACCATATTGTGATACTGCATGGTTCTAATCGCCTTGTGATTCACATGACCAAATCTTTTGTGCCGGATGTGAGTAGTGTTGTCATCTGCTACCTATAAGCAATGACTAGTAACATTCTTTTGATGCTCATACACTATGAACATTCTGTTTTTGGCCACTGTTGATTTCATGATCAGACCTCTTCTTGGATGATAAACATGGCATACTCCATCTTCAAACACCACCTTTACTTTCTTTTCTTGAAGCTGACCCACACTAATCAAGTTTGAAGTTAACTGAGGAACATAGTAAACATTTGTAAAGACTTGCGTGATGCCATCTATTTCAAAACGGACATCTCCCAAGCCTTTTACCTCCAATCTCAGCCCATTGCCTAAATTTACAGTGTGTTTGATAGTTTCATCCAGCCTAGTAAACCAGTTTTTCATACCTGTCATGTGATTTGAACATGCAGAATCTAAGAACCAATACCCCTTGTTTACAACAACATCGTTCTTCATGTGAGCCATAAGAATCAGTTCTTCATTCTCATCAAATTCTACATAATTCATTCCTTGGTCTTTTCGAGGACATTCAAATTGAAAGTGTCCCATCTGATGACACTTGTAACATTTTATCGTTGATTTGTCAAAGTTTCCATGTCCTCTACCTTGTCCACGTCCTCTACCTCTCACCGATCCTCCTCTGCTACCTCTACCAAAACCACGTCCATAGTTTTGATCTTCAACCTGTAGTGCATGATCTTCTACTTCCTTCTTGACTAGCTTCTGCTCATGCACCAGCAATGAGCTTTGTAACTCATCAATAGTGAATGTATCCAAATCTTTGGATTCTTCAATTGAACACACCACAAAATTAAAGTTTGGTGCAAGTGTTCTCAAGATCTTTTCTACCACCTTAACCTCCGTTATTTCTTCACCATTATTCCTCATTTCATTTGACACAGTCATGACTCTACCAAARTACTCCACAATGGTTTCGCCATTCTTCATCTCTAAGGTCTCAAAATCTCTTCTTAACCTCTGCAACTGAGCCCTCTTTACTCGTGCATTCCCCTTGTATTTTACCTTCATTGTTGTCCACAGCTGCTTCGTTGTGTCTTTCTGCGAGATGGTTCTAAGAATATTCTTATCGATTGAATAGAACAKATAGTTCAAAGCCTTCAAATCGATAAGCTTCATGGCATTCAATTCCTTTCTTCTTGTATCTGAAATCTGGTCTCCGGCAGTGGGCTCAACATAGCCGGTTTCAATTGCCGGCCAGAATTCTTTGGATCGAAGCAAGTTCTCCATGACCATACTCCAATGATCATAATCCCCATCGAATTTGGGAATAGCAAAGCCTTGCGACGAGTTTCCTTCAGTCATCTTGTCACTCTCTTCTCGAATGGATCACACAATTGAGCTCTGATACCACTTGTTGAAACCAGGTGATAACACACACAATCTCACTTTAAATGTGATGTTTTATTCAACTAATCAAGCTGCCTTTTATAGGCATACACAGGAAACAGATTCAGCAAACTAACAGCTAAAATATAGGAAATAAATAGGACTAATCCAAATACTTATTCAAACCTAAAACAGACTCAAGGACTTGGTCATATGACCGTTGTAACCAAGCTTCAATAGGTGACTCATGAAGCAACAAGGTCCATTGGAATCGGGAGAGCCAATGTTTGATGAGGAATTTGTTATTTGATTAAGGAAACAAGAAAACATGACAAACTAGGGATAAAGTTATGTGATTTCTGCATTCGTATAGTGCCTGTCAATGTGACAACCATTTATTTTCTTGTGTTTTGGTGGTTTATACTCGTTTATTTGAGCAATATAGCATTTGGTGTGACTTTGGCTTGTCCATTTTACATAGTGGGCTTGTGTGTGCTGGTGTGTTCTTTTCCCTCTCAAGTCCTTTTGATCTTTAAGACTAATTTTCTTCTTGTTCTTTGATTTGAACTTTTTAATCTGATGTGTTGTTTATTAGACTCCTGTTGCCTGCAGTATTTAGTTCTTATTTTTGTTGACAGTTCTGAACTTTTGCAGTCTTCGTTTGCACGTCACATGTCCAGCCAGGGATTTGATACATGGATCCTTGAATTTCGAGGAGCTGGGTTGAGTGCCAAGGTGGCCTCCAAGGAAGTTAAGCAACCAATCAACCTTCCTTCTGGACAGATGGATCCAACCTCCAAGAAAAAAGAACATGATGTATTTTCTTCCAAAGATCAACTAAACCCGAATTCTGATTCTTCTGCAGAAAGTAAAGTTTCTTCTGCTGAAGAAACAAAAGAGATGGTTGAATCTGATCAGTCACAGTTATTGATGACATTCACAGAAACATTTAAGCGTTTTTCTGAGAGATTATCTAACCTAATAAAGGAAGGTCAATCAGGGATTGTTTATTATGGTTGTAATTAATCTGGTACAGGTACCATTTCCATGAAACTTATACCATGTTTCTGTGTAACTTTCAGGTTCTCCAGAAGCGCTACAAAACTCGACTCTTGCTACCCAAATAAGAGATCTAAGTCAAAGGCTTGTAGATATTATGGAAGAAGGTCAGCGATCAGTGTCTCCACCTTTCACTGATTTGCTAGATCGATTTTCTTCCACAATTGAAAACCTACAAACTCAAATTGACCTCCTTGGGAAGTATAATTGGGACTTCGACCACTACCTGGAAGAGGATGTGCCTACTGCGGTGATGTCACAAATCAATTTGATTTAACTTATTTAAGTTTTTTATATTTCATCCATTGCACACTTGAGCTCTTTAATAAAGTAGTGATTCAACTAATTGTGAAGAGAATTCATATCTGTTATTGTCTATAAAAACAGATGGAATACATACGAAAGGAATGCAAACCTAAGGATGACAAGTTACTTGCAATTGGCCATTCCATGGGTGGTATCTTGCTCTATGCCATACTCTCTCGAAATGGTACGACAGCCATAGCTTCCTTTAATATTCTCGTTGTCTAGATTATTCTCGCACCTCCTTTTTCCAAATTAATGCCTTTGTTCGATAGTGTGTATCATGGAGGTGGAAACTAAATGTTTCATGTCTGCTATTTGGTTATGTATGATCCCATTTTCTTGATTATAGGACTTCTAGAGTGCTCAACTTACATATTTATGTAGCCAAGTAAGCTAAAAAGAAAAGAGAAGAGTTGAGGGTTGTTAAGGTTTGACTATCTTGGGCCGTGAACCTCATCAGTTATGTTGCCATAGTTTGCAGATTTATGCATCGCAGGTGATATCTCCCTAGTTTAATATATGAAAGATTGATATATGACTATTCTCTGATACTCCCCTTACTATTCTTGTCTGTATCGCTTTGCTAGTTGAATTTTTTGGTCATAGTAAAATTTTGTCTCACAATATATCCTACTAGATTTGGGTACTCTTTGCTTATGAGCATGAGGGACAAGAAATTCATGGGTTAGCTAATGGTTTTCTTTGTAGCATGAATATGAAGATTGAACCTTTCAGCATTCCCTTTAATGATCAATATGAAGATTGAACCTTTCAACATCTCTCTGAGAAGAGAGTAAGTGGACTAGATAGTAGTGGCCCAGAATGTCCTAAATGCATGGGTTGAACTAATTCATGTGTAGGTGATAAGCCACTGATAAAGGTGAGGACATGATGTTTTCACCGTGCCTGAGGATCAAACTAAGAGGAAAGACGAAAGCCTTCCTCGAGCTCATCAACCAGTTTCTTGAAGTGCGTGTAGTGCTCTTCTTGAAGTGTGTATAGAAAGTGTTGCATAGTGCCCTGATACCATGTTAACATGAAGAAAGGAATATGCTGATGATATCATATCACTTATTTAATAGAATCGAGAGTATGTATGGAGTAATATGGTGGGCCATGGTGCAGAAATCCTAATCCTTAACATGTGGCAAGTTACAAATGTTCAATAGATACGCCCAACTTGAGGAGTGTTAGATATCGGGCTAAAATTAGCCATTATGTTTATATAATTTCAAGTGGATTCTAAATTAGGGTTTGACTATCTCAGCCCATGACCCGCCATTGTGATTCTTGATAAGCATATGTAATGAGGTAAATGCACTTCTTGATAGGCAACTTGGGTTAAGGTACAATCTCGAGAAAGTCATGAAACTTGGATTAAAATTGAATAGATCTGTCAAGCGGAATAATGATTTTCATTTGAAGTAGCCATTCTCCTTTCAACAGTTGGAGAACTTTTGTCTGTCTAAATGCTTTGCGTAGCTCCTTTGATCAATTTTAGAGTAGCTTGTGGATGAACATATTCAAGAATCAATAAGAGGTTCCGCTAACCAACTGGTACCGTAACCTGATGGCATCAACAGATAGCGGAATGAAGCAGAAGAAATGATTGAACATATTAAGATGCTAACAATGGTTATCCATTGACAGCTAGGTGTAACTGGCGGTGAAGCGATTTCTCATGTGGTTGTACCTAGAATTATTCTAGCAATATGATACCATGTAAAGATTTTAAGGTTAAAATGATGTATATAGAAGAAATACTCTGTATACATACAGGACAGTGAGGACCAGCAGAGGGAATAAAGAGTTGCTATTAACAGACTTAATAAATACCAACCCTAATTATACTACTAATATCTACAAGCATTCAATATAAACGATGGTTGGACAATAGGGAGCTGAACGTGCCTTGCACTAGATGGTTGCCGAATGTTTAGCCCACCAAATTCTGAAAATTAATACATTCTCTTGTAAGGGATCACTGTAGCACATGGTTCCTTTACATTCAATGTAGGAGGAAAAGGATAACATATACATGGTTGCAGGATGATGGTTCTTTACATTCACTGTAGCACATGGTTTCTTTACATTCAATGTAGGAGGAAAAGGTTAATACATGGTTGTAGGATGATGTTCTATTATACTCGTCGATTGTCATATTGGTTATTTACATCTCTACCTATATGCATACGAGCAACCAAACTGGTTTACTTAATAGAGTTTTTGATGAGCGTCACTTACCTTAGCATTCTCAAGACAATCATAGAAGTTGCTGCAAAAAGGCTTTCTATTATGTTAGGTGTATAATTATTCCCCTGTGGTGCATCAATTATTATATGCAATGTTTCCTATGAGGATCATGAAATTTTTAATAGTTAGAAAAATCAATTGTTTTGCATATGAGGATCTGAAGTTGCTGAAATGCCAGTTCTTTTTATCAACATTTGTGTATTAAAATATGGTTCTTTTACAAGTTTGTGGGAATAGAGACTCCAAGTTGGCTGCAATCGTTACTTTGGGGGCTTCACTTGATTACACTACATCAAAATCATCGCTGAAATTACTCACACCCCTGGTAAAATACAAAGATATTTGTTTTGATTTCTTGCATTTTTTTTTCGTTTTCTGATCGAAGTATGTTCTTTCTGGTGCACAGGCAGATCCGGCTCAGGCCTTGAGTGTTCCAGCTGTTCCATTAGGTGCATTGCTTGCAGCAGCTTATCCTCTTGCTTCTCGACCTCCATATGTTATGTCCTGGTTAAATCGTCTGATTACTGCACAAGATATGATGCAACCGGAGCTCATGGAGAAGTTTGTTATGAACAACTTCTGTGAGTTCACTTTTCTTCTCATATGGAGATTACTTATTTGCCCTTTAATCTCAAGGATACGAATCATATCTTTGGAAATTATTTATTTGCCCTTTAATCTCAAGGATACGAATCGTATCTTTTTTTCACCAGTCAAACAATGTTCACTGCATTTTTGTACCTGATTCATTTGTTTGGTGGATTGAAACTTTAAAGATATTGCTACAGTGGTTTGTGACTGCAACTGTACATTCACCAACTACTATGCCATAAACTTTATAAGCATCATACTACTCTCTCTCTCTCTATTAATAAGGGTAGTTGACTAGAACTGCCATTTGCTCAAATAGAAAAAATATATATATAGCATAAATGCATTATTGAGCAATGTTTATCATATATATTACAGAATAGTCAATGGATCAGAACATAAATCATAGTAGATATAGTTGAGACCTATATCTTTGACACTCATCAAGTTGAAGCATTGATGTCAAACATGCTCAACTTGATATTTTTACGATGCTCGAGTCGGAAGAACATAAAATATTCATAAGTGCTTCTAATAAGGTTTCCAGAGCTTGAGACAGCCAAAGAAACAAAACTCGAAGTGCTTTTTAGACTATAGAGATATTGTCGTAGACGATACAATAGACTCATGTTTATATACAAGCAATGTAGGATGCATGTGACAGGAACCAAAGCAAATCCTATTGAAAGCAAATGAGTATGAACAAGCAACAATTCAACCTACTACATACAAGAGGTAGGCCACTCTCCCTAGACGTTCACTTGATTCTTGTATTTCTGATCAAAATTGAGCAGGCCTCTCTCATAACCCCTAAGCCTTCTTACAGAATTCCAATTTATGGAAATAACGTAGTTACCTGATATATATGCTTATTATGGCTGAATACCCTTATGATTATGGTTGCCTTATATGTTCCCCTTTCCTTGTCTAACTCGATTACGTATTAAGTAAACCATCATAGGCTTAGGCCCATGTGGTGGTCTAACAATATAGAAGCATGTGCAGATGATAGGCTTCCTGTAGAAGTAAAAAACATGAAGTTTATCTTGATGCGGACCTCAATTAGAAGCAGCCCTCAAAATTGTCAGCAAGCTTTTGTTGAAATGCGTATTCATACTGGCAAGAGTATTGCCTGAGGGAGCAAAAGCACAAGATGTTCTGCTTGTGCTTGAATTGATGGCCACGAGATGGTCGAAGATCTTTAGTTGTTTTTCAGGTCATTGTCGGGTTCCATAGCTCCTAATATTGTACATAGTGTATCACTTTCAACAATTTCTCATTTTGGGTAGGGCAAATTGCATTTAATAGGAAGATACTTTCATTAATTTGCCATTTCGGGAAACATAATTTCAAAAGGCACCGTTAAGGTTTTATAGTTGAAAAATGTCTAAGGGTCTATAGTTTGTAAATGTCTATATTTTGATGCACTTTTTGAATGTATGTTCCCTGAATAGAAATTTTTTAAACTATAAACCCTTAAGCACACCTTTTGAAAGTATGTTCTTCAAATGGCAAGGGAGTGAAAGTATGTGCCTCTATATGCAATTAGCCCGTCATGGTAATAGGATTGGGTGGGTTTTGAAGCACTCCGATTTTTAACATTTGATTGGGATTTTAAAGTATTCAACTTTAATATTCATTCTTGATAGCAGAATTGAGATTTTAAAGTATTCATTCTTAATAGCAAATCAAGAAATACATATCCGATATTGACCACAACTGGGCAGAGAGTACTATAGAACATACCAAGATACTACTACTCCATTCAAGTATCTAAAGATAGTATGGTTTGAACCTAGATAGTCCAGGAGAACCTTAATTTAAGATTTGTATTCTCGAGCCATGAAGAGAATGCTATTTATCGTAATGCTTGAATTGTTTATTTCCTTTCTCTCATGCTTTTGCACAAGCCATTCCACCCTCCTGGGTAGAGGTTCTGTCTGTGTATATCCTCCTGGATTTGTTTGGTTTTTATTTTGCTGTTTGTTTGAGCAGGTACCGTGCCTGCCAAGCTACTTTTGCAGCTAACAACAGCCTTTCAGGAAGGTGGATTGCGTGACAGAAGTGGAACTTTCTTCTACAAAGATCACATCAACAAAATTGATACTCCGGTCTTAGCTATTGCTGGTGACCGTGACATCATTTGCCCACCTGAAGCCGTATACGGTATATATTTTCTTTTGATGTATATATTTCATGACTATATCTTGATGATTTTCCTTCAATTAACTTGAGTCTTCTTTTTTCTTTTTCTTTTCGGGATTGATGAGAACAGAAACAATCAAACTGGTTCCTAAACATCTGTGCATGTACAAAGTCTTTGGTGAGGCAGCCGGGCCACACTATGCTCACTATGATCTTGTTGGAGGTCGTTTGGTATGTAATCATCATCTTGTCCTTTTCCTGTTCTTCAAGCACCTCTATTTTCTGTCACCAAGTTTGAGTCATGAAAACAGCCTACTTGCAAACTGCAAGAGAATGGCTGTTGTAGAAGACTTCCTGTCCCAACCGTTGCAAAGTTGAGAAGCCATGTTTCACTGAGATCACCCATATATTCTGTTAGGACCGGACATGCTTGAACAAAAACTTCTCCACGTTTGGCGTGACAATTAGAATACTGTGACAAGACTACTGAAATGCAGTTTTCTTGTCTCACCTTAAGAGGTGGAACAAAAATTAGGGAGATGGTACAAGATAAGATAAATTTCGAAACTACCCATGTGAAATTAAACCTTGAAACCTTCTACACTTCTTTCACCCGCTTATCTCACTCGCACGGGTCCAGTCCTATCAGAAAGCACCCATTTTCTCCATTTGTCCTTGTGTTGTTGCAAACATACATATTCTATTCTTTTTTTACCATTTTCTCCTTTTTATGGGCCGTATCTTCAGTTCTATTCGCATCAACTAATTCCATGTTTAGTAACCATAAGTTAGCTTATAAACTACCTTACCTTTTGATGTTATTGAAAAATTCCAGTTTGGAAGGCATAAGCTAGCGTTTTGAGAAGCTACTTCAGATAGCTTTTTGGACCCTTCTTTCACTTTCTACAATCATGTCTTATATTTTACATAATACATCATATATTTTCCTATTAGGTCATTTTAGATTGTCATATATAGCTTATCAGCTAGTTTTTACCAAACTGACTAGTTTATCGGTTAGTTTGACACACAACCTAAATGGGATCTTGTATGAATTCATTTCTTCTCTGACCAACAGTTGAAAGAAATTGAATCTGACCAATGATGTTTTTAAACTTGCAGGCACCAGAACAGTTGTATCCATGTATAATCGACTTTCTGACAATTCACGATTCAACCTAATCTAAATCTTCTATCGATATCATAATACCATTTTACCATCAAATGATACTTAAATACAGCCAGGAGCAACCTCCATGAACTCGAGTGACATTCCCTGCCGATGATCAACATAAAAATGATGCGAGGAATGGAACTGTTGGTGCACCTTCATACATAGACTGTTTTTTTATAACTGTGGGTGTTTGGATCAACATTCGTATGTATATTGTTTATTTAATAACCGTGGGTGTCAGGACCAGCATTGATATGTATAGTGTTGGTGTTATCTTCTAGCATATCTATACACCCATCAAGCAAAAGGAAACGGAAAAGGTAAGGGATAGCCAAAGCTACCGGTACACCAAGTATATTTGTTGAACAATTTGTCATGTATATGGATTATGGAAACTGCTTCGAGGAATTTGTAAAAGAATATGAATCTGCAGAGATTGGCTTATGGATTCTTGTTTTTGCAAGGTGTGGATTGGAGATATTTTTTTTGAAGTATATATAATTGTATCCATGTTCTAAAAGGGTCATACAGCCGTCTTGACTCGTTAAGCGTGTGGCATGTCATGGCTAAATGCCCGAACTTGTAGCACGGCATCTGGGTTTTTTTAATCTTTTTATTGTCTTACTTTTTAGTTTTTAATATATAACTTAATTTATATTGTTTAATCTCATTGAGTAATAGTGGGAAACATGTGCATAAGTATAATTATATATAATATACAAATTTGTTGCCACAAGTCACGCCTTGAAAAATCCAATGTGCATAACCGATTCCTAATATCTCGAGAAATAACAAACATGTCAAAAACACAATCTTTCTATTCTTTCTTCTCAATAAATGAATGATGTAGCGTTATGTGAGTGATGGACAAAAAAATGACTGAAAATTTAGGGATAACAGATTTATTCGCGTTTACATTTGATAATCGTTCCCCCTAATAATCCTCTCTTTAATTCATTTCAAGTGACTCTCTTTTGGTGGTAATCAACTTTCACGAAATTAAGGTGTCATTTACCAAACGCTTATCCGGGTAAGCATTTACCAAGTCACATTACCTTATGAGATATATATGACAAGGACCAAGAATTTAGCCAGTAAGAATGAAGGCAAGGACCGAGAGTCTTGTCCGGTAGGTGAGGGCAACAACTTACCATGGTTAGTGCTTACCAGATAAATTATTGCATACGATACTGTTTTGGTTGATAAAATCTTACCCGATAAATAAACAATAGTGTTAAGTTTTAACGATATGTACCCTAGTGGGTAAGTGTTTAATAAGTAAATGGCCCCTAAAGACTTCCTTTCATTCTAGTTTCAAATCCATTACTTGTATACACCACTTTCAAAGCATCCACATCCATGCCATAACAGTATCCAAATAAAATATCTCAACCATATGATGGAATGATCCAACAAATGTGATTAAAAAGGTGGTTGTAACAACAACAAAAATTCCCCTTTATTTTCTAAATAAAAAAAGCCGAGCATTTTATTTTCTTTAATTTGACATCCATATTGTTATACCGTTCCATGCAAACTTAATACAGAAATTCACAAAGGCAGCAAATCACTTGATATAACATTCATTAAATTCAACAAATTTTCAGTAGTAGTATCAATCATGTTAACCAAACATACAAATGTAACACAAACCCAAGAATCGACTTATGTTTCTTTCTTTTATCGCGATTATAATAGTTTCTATGAACAGATCGCGATTAATTTTGAGACTCGACGACCACTTTACAGATGGGGCAGGTTTTCTTTTGCACCAACCATTGCTTTATGCAGTACATGTGATAGAAATGGCCACATTCCAGCTTACCAATCTCATCTTCACCTTCATATTCCTCCTGTAACACATAACCAACCATAAAATTACCTTTTTGCCCATCATCGGCATAAGTCTTGATGGTTTCTTCCCCTATTTTTTCACTACTACAAGGTGTTTTTAGACAATTAGACTAATAACCAATCACTTTCTATCAAGAATGTCAATGGCATTCATAAGATAAAAGCCTTATCCTGTTATTACCAAAAGGGTTTTTTTAGACATTTCACTTATAACAAATCACCTTCTATCTTATGATTACTAGAAGGTGTCTCAAGACATTTGACCACTAACTAATACCATGCTATCAAGAATATCAATGGCAATTCTCAAACTAAACTTACCTCTATATATTAACATGCATATGTTAAAATTACTCTCTTGCCCATTCTTACTGTTGCAAAACTTATTTCTTTAATTACTAAAAGGGTATTTCAGACATTTCACTGGATAACAAATCACTCTCTGTATGAATGATGTATGCATGTTCTACAAATAAATAAATAAATAAATAAATAAAAACCTGACAAATGGTGCATTTCCATTGCATCTGGGTTGGAACATGAGGGGGTTTGGTTTTCCTTACACATTGGCCTATCTCATCTTCTCTTAAACCAGTACTCACATACCCAATTTTATCACCAAGCTCCAGCAGTTCCTGTTTGCAAACAATTTATTTTCATAAAAAGATTGATTAATATCTATAAATTATATATATATATATATATATATATATATGTATATACTTGTGATCATGTGAGACACGTCTGTTTTAATGAGACACGATGTTTACACTTGAAACTTCATAGCAAAACACTGTGAAGGTAACCTTCACAGTGTTTTTGCTGTGAAGATTCGGCTTTTTTTTACCTTCACAACATTTTGTTGTGAAGTTTCAAGTGTAAAAATTGTGTCTCACGAAAACAATTTTGTCTCACGTTTAACCCAACCCTATATATACATATAAAAGAACAACCATATAAAATGAATTGGGACAATGGAATTTCAAATCCTAAACTGTGGTGTTAGAATGATTATCCCGCACATCGGTGAAGAAAATGGAAGATTGATAAATGGTGGTGGGTACAAAGACAAAGGGACAACATTTTCATCAATTTATGGTTTAAATCCCGCATCGGGTACAAAAAAAGGGCCAACAGTAGAACAAACATATCTTTATCGAGAAGAGGAAAGTGTAGTGTATGTTTCTATGTGTTTAATATCTCATCAAGATCCACTTAACTTGATCCAATGTTTCCTAAAAAAATCATACAAAAGAAAAATCAAACCTCATAAGACATGCTATCGACATCAAGCCTCCAATCTCTGTATCGATCGTGATCTAATCTTCCCCCCATAAGTAGATTGCCTTGGAGCATAACAATCTGCATCCCAAAATATAATTCAGCATTTCAAATCAATTTCTTGCAAACCTTGTTACAAGTCATATTATCCCTTAGTACACCTGAGGGCTCGTTTGGTTTGTGGGATGTGGCGTTCCAATCCCGCATTTGTTTTAAAGGGAAGTCCGGAATTGAAATCCAGGGATTTTGATGAAATCCCACAAACATTGGATTTAGAAATCCCATTGGGGTAGTAGGTATATTCAAGGGATTTTTCACGAGTTGTTTGCAATAGTTTTTGATTTGTAATAATCAATCAATAAAAGGTTTTTAAAATTTATCTATAAAAAAATGGAATTCCATTCCATTCCGAATCCTACGAAGTAGGAACTAAACACACTCAATGATTCCAAATCCTTCTACGAAATTCAAACCCCTCAAAAACATGTCTTCAGACCAAACACGGGCTTAGAATCTCTTATTGATTGTGTAGATAATTCTTTAACAACAATGAGAGTGCGCAACTAAAGGTGTTGGTTCAAGTGTTAGAAACGTTAAAAAGACTTCTAAAACCAACATCTTCTTTCAAGTATCGATGTTGCCTGATCTCCATACACCATCTTTCTAGCACAAAAAGTAATCTTGATCTTTTAGACGAAATACGGATGTTATCTCATTAATACACCATCAAAAAGTATCTTGTTCATTGCAACTCAAACCTCAAAACTTTCCAAGATTCAAATATATTCCTCATGAATCTTTGGATCATACATAACCAAATATATTAGAAGAACCCCATAATTGTTGGATACGTATTCCTTATTTTGTGTTAGTACATGGAGCAAATATAGAAACAAGTTGGGTTCTGGTGAGAACGGAAGTTATGATGAGAAGCGTAAGAAGAGACCTCCACCCTTAGATCAATCCTAATTAAATGTCAACACTAATGAAGTGCACCGAAATGCGCCGGATCAATTCCCTTGTAAAGCGCAATTCATGGGTGGGCATGAGATTAAAAGTGATCAAGGGTTCAGATCTCTTCTTATGCTTCTCATCATAACTTCTCTTCTCACACGATCCTTTGTCATATAGAAACAGTAAAAGGGTTCTTCTAATTTAATAAAAAAATGCTCAGGAAATAACAAGTTCAACGATTTTTCAACTAGTTACCAAGGTATGTTCCTCTTTAACACAAGTCTAGTCTAATTTAATAGTAAATTTTCCAACTATGGAAAACACATGCAATTCTAAGTGGTCCAAATTTCCGAAATAATCAAGTATGCTCCTTTATATCATAGTAGCAATTAGCCGAAAATAGGCGATCAAGATCAACTTAAATTTCAATAGGAATTCAATATGCAAAAAGTAGTAATAGATCCCCAAATCATTATCTCTTGATCTGTTAGAAAAAAGCAAGCCTGAAATCTGTTTAATATAGTCAAAAACATTATCAAAATTTCAAGTATGAAACACATTTTCAATCAAGGTTTTGAAACAGTAAATGTGTAAGCAAACCTCAGCAAGGCCTTCGGGAGACCGATGTCTAACATGGCGATGATGC